ATCTCCCCTCCCTCATTTGCTATTTTATTTTCTTCTTTTTTTAAAGTCTGATTAACTAAGTGTTTATCCACTTTGTCTTCTCAGACAACCAACTTTTAGTTCTGTTTATCATTTCTATGTGGGTTTTTTGTTTCCAATGTACCTATTCCCTCTCTAATACTTAATATCTCCTCTTCTGTGCTTATTTTAAGATTTGTTTATTTGTTTAATTTCTAGTCTTCAAAATGCATATTTCATTTATTAATCTCCTATTTTGTTAATATATGATTTCGCCTTAGGACTACTTTAGCGTGTCCCAAATATTTTGATACCTTGTTTCTTCATTATAACTTTTCTCTTACATAGTTATTAGTTATCTCTGTTTCTAAAATGTGTTCTTTGATCCATTCATTAGTTAAAATTTTATTGTTAAGTCTCCATTTGGGTCTATATCTTTTGTTTGTTGTCCTTGAACCAATTTCTACTTCATTGCTTCATGGTCTGTAAGGATGTATGGATTGTTTCTGGAATTTTGTGTTTGTTTGCAATAACTCTGTGCTCTAGTACCTAGTCAATTTTTGTAAAAGTTCCACATGGTGCAGAGAAATATGCATATTATTTTGCTGTCCTGTTTAGAAGACACTATAATGCTTTTAAGTCTAGCTTTTCCAGAAACGTCTTCAGCTCTAAATTTCCCTTTTTGTTAGGTTTATCCAAAACTGACAGAGGGATATTAATGCCTCCTGTCACTATTGTGCTGTTATGTATGTTTGCTTGAAGCTCAAGTAATATTTCCTTTGTAAACATAGATGGTAAAGCATTTGGAGTAAATATGTTTGTTACTGGTATTTATTTATATGTTGTCTATGGTTCTTTTAAGCATAGTATAGTCTCCTTGTTAATTCCTTTTAATTTTTTTCCCCCATGTTCACTTTTGCTTTGTCTGATAGTATGATGGTAAATCCTGCTTTTTTGGGATTCACTTGCTGCATAGTAAATTTCTTTCATCCCTTCAGTTTTACTTTCTGTTGCCTAGAGGTCACACAGCTAGTAAATATATGAGGCCAGATTTGAACTGAGGAAGAGGAGTCTTCCTGACTCCAGGGTCAGAATTCTATCCCTTGGGCCACCAGCTGCTCTCAGTGTAGAATAGTCTTATGTTTTTCAAATGACCTTTCCTTCATATTTGAAAGAATTTCTTCTGATCACTTGTGGAACTTGTTGTTTCTGAATTAAATTGTGTCTTGAATTTTTTCTCCAGAAAAAAAAGCTTTCTTTTGTGTATTATTTTAATGTCACACTGATGATGTTTCCTTTTATCCCCTCTTCCTTTTTTTTGCATCACTCTCATTGGCCACCAACTCTTCCCCAAATAGAAGTCTTCCCTTATAACCAATAAATACGGTAAACAAAACAAACCAACATATTGTCTATGTCTGCAAATATACGCTTCTTTACATTCTTGTAGTCTATTACCTCTCTGTTACAAAAGAGGACCCAGCTCACACTGGATACAGGACCAGGTTCTGTATTGCCCATATGCAGCTCTGTGTTGCAGTTCTAGGGTAGAGTGGAGCAGTTGTGGGTCAGTCCCAAGGGAACAGAAAGGTTGGTCACAGTTCCAAGCAGAGAAGAGTACAAGTGCCTGTAACTGCAGGGGAGGAGGAGCCCTATCTGAGTAAAGACCAGAGCACAGATCAGGACAGCTATGACCACACCTCTCTCAGATTAACACCACCTTGGAAGTACCAAGAACTTCCAGACTCCCAGAACTAGCTCTGAAAACAGTAGCACAGAAAAAGCCTGAAGTTTGGAACAAATAAACAAATAAAAGAACCCAACTTTAATAGCATAAGGTTCCAAGTCAAGAAATAGTCTGGAAAAATAAGTAAACAACAACAAAAAAAAACCCTGAACATAAAGAGCTACAGGAAAAATAAAAGACACAAATGTAGAAGACAATAATGTGAAAACAACTGCAAGCAAAGCCTCAAAGAAAAATGCAAATAGAACACAATCCCCACAAGAACTCCTGGAAGAACTGAAGAAAGAGCTAAGAGTAGTAGCAAAAAAATTTGGAAAAAAATGAGAGCAAGGCAAGAAAATTATGAAAAGAGAATTATCAGTTTGATTAAAGAGACACCAAAAATACTGAAGAAAATAACACTTTAAAAAACAGAATTGGCTAAATGGTAAAAAAGGCACAAAAATTCACCGAAGAAAAGGACTTCTTAAAGAGCAGAATTAGCCAAATGGAAAAAAGAGGTATAAAATCTCACTGAAGAAAATAATTACTAAAAAAATCAAAATAGAAATTTAGTCATATGAAAATCACATATATGATTGTAATAGAATACTATTGAATGCCATAAGATACGACAAGCAGGATGGTTTTAGAAAAAACTGGGAAGACTTAGATGTACTGATGCCAAGTGAAGTAAGCAGAACCAGGAGAACCCTGTACACAGTAACAACAATATTATAATGATGATCAGCTGTGAAATATTTAGCTACTTTGATCAATACAATGATCCAAGATAATTCCAAAGGACCCATCATGAAAAATGTTATTCACCTCCAAAGACAGAACTGACGAACTCTGTAGATCAAAGCATAATTTTTAAATTTTCTATGTTTTTTCATTCTTTTCTTTTAATAGGGCTAATATGGCAATATGTTTTGCATGACTTCTCAAGTATAACTTACATCATATTACTTGTATTCTTAATGTGCAGGGAAGGGGCAGGAGAGAGAGAAAATTTGAAACTCAAGATCTAAAAAAAGAATATTAAAAAATAAAATCAATGAATCACAAAAATGGTATCCATAAAAATTTTGGAGAAGAAAAAAAGAAGTCCCTGATAAGAATTATCTCATCATATGAACTCTTGATGATCCAGAATTCATCAAACTGAAGTTGGAAAACCTTTCCTGAATGCTCCATGAGCATCTATAGAGTCTTTGCAGGAACGTCAAGGTCCCATCAGTGATTCCCTGAAATATTTCCAAACACCTTGGGAAGATTAGTTGGCTCAACAAGGAGAAAATATTACAAGCTTCCAGAAGGAAACAATTCAAGTACTGTGGAAACACAATCAGGATAACACAAGATTTAGCATCTTCTACTTTAAAAGACCGCAGGGCATGGAATACAATATTCTGGAGTGCAAAAGAGATAGGATTACAACCAAGAATCACTTACCCAGGAAAACTGAGTATAATCCTTCAGGGGAAAAAATGGTCATTCAGTGAAATAGAGGACTTTCAAGCATTCCTAATGAAAAGACCAGAGCTGAATAGAAAATTTGACTTTCAAATACAGGACTCAAGTAGAACATGAAGAGGTAAACAAGAAAGAGAAATCATAAGAGACTTATTAAGATTGAACTGTTTACATTCCTGCATGGAAAGATGATATTTATCACTCATGAGACCTTTGTCAGTATTAGGGTAGTTGAAGGAAAAAAATTATATGTATGTATGTAGATAGATAGATAGATAGATAGATAGATAGATAGATAGATAGAGGGCACAGGGTGAGTTGAAGATTAAGGGGTCATATCTGGAGAATAAAATTAAGGGATGAGAGAGGATGATACTCGGAGAAGAAGAAAGGGAGAGGTAGAATGGGATAAATTATCTCACAAAAAAAAACAGAAAAGAAAAGTCTCTTACACTGGAGGGGAAGCAGGGGAAGGTGAGAGGGAATGAGTGAATCTTATTCTCATAGGATTAGGCTTAAGGAGGCAATAACATACACATTCAATTGGTTATGAAAATCTGTCTTACCTTACAGGAAAATAGGGGGAGAAGGGGACAAGAGAGCAGGGGGATGATAGAGAGGAGGGCAGATTGGGAAAGGGAGTAATCAGAAGGAAATACTTCTGAGAAGGGACAGGGTCAAAAGAAAGAATAGAATAAATGGGAGGGCAGGATAGGATTAAGGGAAATAGAGTTAGTTTTTCACAACATGTCTACTATGGAAGTGTTTTGCATAATTGCACATGTATAACCTATATTGAGTTGTTTACCTTTTCAATGAGGGTGAATGGGGAGGGAGGAAGAGAGAAAATTTGAAACCTAAAGTTTTAAAAACATATGTTCAAAAAAATATTTTCACATGCTACTGGGAAATAAGAAATACAGGAGATGGTGTATAGAAGTCTATCCTGCCCTACAGGAAAATAGAAGGGGAAGGGGATAAGAGAAGGGGGGAGAGATAGAGGAGAGGACAGACTAGAGGAAGGGATATTCAGAATGCATGCCATCTTGGGGTGGAAGGAGGGGTGAGATGGGGCAAAAATTTGGAACTCAAAAACTTGTGGAAATGAACGTTGAAAACTAAAAATAAATAAATTTATATTAAAAAAAAAGAAAAAAAAAGAAATTACAACAACAAAAAAAGATTAGTTGGCTCAAATGTTTCCAAACTCCACAGGGAGATCCATCAATGCAAATATCCACTGCCTGAGACATTGATCAGCCATAGTTTGGACAAGTGCCCATCAAGACAAGGTCCAGAGGAGTCATCCCTGGGCAACTGTAGTTGGTTTTTGAGGTTCTTCAATCCTTCTTGACTGTTGTTCAGTCTATGACCAGACCCCCTAAAGGATCCCAGGGTACTTTCCCTTTCAAGCCTTTTCCTCTCTTACCTGGCTTAGCCTGGGAATAGATCAATCAATCTCACACAACGGAGTTGAAGACCACAAGTAACCAGTTATTAATGGAGCCATCCCAGAATTCATGTGGAGGACTGATCTGAGGCTCTGCAAAAGTGAATCCCTTCCCAAATGTTTAGCCTGCCTGGAGCCTTGCTGTGAAGTTGATCTAGGATGTATATCCTGAGGTCCCTCGCACTTACCTGAAGATCTGTCCCTGGGCTTCATGACCTTAATGAGTTCTCATAGGCTCAATTTCAGAAACTCTCACCTCACTTCCTGTCACCCTCATGTTCCTCCACCCTTCCTAAGGACCATTCTGTGGAACCAAGAGGTTTAGTTTCCTTCCTGTGTCACCGTGAGCAGTGGGAAAATTTTGGTCCTGGAACAAAAGTGACTGTGTTGCCATGTAAGTTTCTGTGTTTTCAGGGAATGTGTGTGTATAGGGGTGGGGAAAGCTTGGCAGGGGGATCTCACTCCATTGAATCACAAGACGGCTACAGGGATATGGGGGGAACTTTGGGTTGGATTCATGGTTCCAATCTTCCTATGTCGAGTACTGGTGGTGTGTGTCTGTGGCTAACACTATTTTTGGATAGCCCCTCTCTCTTGCCCACTCCAGGAATCCTCAATCCTGTCAATCTCCCCATACCTATGAACCCTTATCTCCCTAGCCTTGGGAATCTTCTGTTGCTCAGAGCTTCTGATAATCTGGGAAACCTCTGGATGCAGGGACAACTCCTATGAACCCAGGACCAACCTTGACCCCTGTGATTCCCTGGATCCCACCAACAACCTTGACCTTTTCTGCTGCTGTGGGTCCTTTGTCCCACATATTCTTCACTACTTAGGTCTGGGGTAGAGGTAGGAAGATGGATTGGGGTTGGGGTGTGAGGGAGTTTAGGGTAATCAAAGCTCTATCGCTTAGGAGGAGACATGGATGGACTGCCCCTACTTACGCTATCCCCAATTTTGCTTCATTCAGTGGAAGAGACAGTGCTGACAGAGTCAGGGGGAGGCCCCCAACAAGCTGGAAAGACCCTGAATCTCAAATGCCAAACCTCTGGTTTTGAGTTCAAGACAAGTAAACTTGGCTGGTACCTTTGGGCCCCTGGCCGTGCCCCACTGTGGTTGACCAGTCTTCACAGTAGTTCTACAGATGCCACTGAAGACCGAATCACTACCTCCAGGGAGGACACTGGCAGCCAGATTTTCCTAAAGATTGAGGGCCTGGGTCTCAGAGATTCTGGCCAATACCACTGTGCAAGGAGGGTGGGCAATGGAGATGACACAGACAAGCTGGTCTTTGGTCGTGGTACAGACGTGACTGTGGAGCCTGGTGAGTGCCTCTACTATCCCAATCCTAAGGAAATCCTAAGACTTCAGGTCACATAGTCAGTGCTGAGTCTAGACCAGAAACAGGGTTCCCCATCTCCCAGGCCCCTCTTTCCACCACAGTGTACTCTGTGACCGTGCACAGCTAACATTCCTGCTCTGAGCTGTAATCCCTGAGGATGGATTGTGGTAGATCATTAAAAGGCTTTGGATTCATATCATAAGACCCAAAGAATGCAACAATGAAATTTTGAGACTTGTCAACACCAATGACAATCATGAGTTGGGGGAAGTTGGGAAGGGGAAAGGGGAAAGGCACCAAAGGGGACATAGGAACCAGGCTGAGGCTGGGACTGGGGGCAGGAAATGGGACTGAGGTTTGTTTTTTACAGTTGCTTTGTCACATGAATCTGCTCCCTACATATAGGACCAGGCTAAGGTTAAAGGGGTGCGCAGGAAATTGGGGGCTAAAGTTTGTTTTTCACAGTTATATGCTTGTCATATGTGTGCCTTTCCCACATCTGGGGCTAGGTCCAGAAAGGTGACAGGAAGCCATCATTTGATTGCAGGACCTCAAGCCCCCCTGTCACCCAGTGTATTTTTGGTGAGAGGTCAGGATGCTGTAGCCTGCCTGATCAGGAACTTCTACCCCAAGGAACTCCATGTGTCCTTGAACTCCTCTGCACCTTTGATCTCAGCCCAGGCTCCTACTCTTGTTCCCATGGCCAATGGCACCTACAGTGCTGTCCAGATTGGCAGGGTTGGTGAGAATGATACAGTAACCTGCTCAGTGAAGCACCTTGGGAAAGAGATACATGTATCCCACAAGCCAGGTATGATTACTACCTGGCTGACAGAGGTTGGGGGGAAGGAGGTGGAAAAGAGGGGTGCTTCAGTCTAAAAAAGGCTTCCTTGGTTCACTGAAGGACAGGGCTATAGGCTGTGTCTCAGGAGGGGTATTACAAGGTGCTAAGTAAAGTTTTAAGCTAGGGGAAAGCGAGGATGGAAAGGAGTATCCTAGGAAAAGAGATCATAATGCTAGAGAGAGTAATCCTAATCTGGGGACTAGGTCTTGGATTGAAAGGGGCAGCTAGGATCAGGACATGGTTCTAGTATGAGAAGGTGGTCCCTGACATCGAGGTGGGGCTGTGCACTGGGGAGGCCAGTCCTCAGTTAACTAAAGATCAGAGTTGTGTCTGAGGATATGTTTCTGGTTTCAGATCATACTGGACCAGATCCTGGGATTGCCTGTAAGCAGAATCTTATGGGTGAGTTTAACATTCATGGTGAAAAGGCAAAGCTAATGAGATTAAAACTGAGGCCTCATAGGAAAGAAAAATGCAACAGTAGCCAGAAGGGGAAACTGACAAAGCCTAAAAGTTACCAAGAAGCAAATTTAGCTTTGATCATGTAAGAAATAAGTTTCTGACTATTAGGGATTCTCAAAAATGGAATGGGCTGTCTGAGGAGGCCGTGGGACCACCTCACTGAGACACTCTCAGCAAAGGCTAGATGAGACCATTTAGGGGTGTGTCATAGAAGGAATTCCTTCTAGGCACAGGCTGGACCAGTTGGCTACTCAGGTCCTTTCTAAGTGAAGTTTTCTGTATCTATAATCCTGCTAGTTTCTATTTGTCCTACTTTGATAATGGCATAGCCCAGGGTTCAGAGTGACAATCACCCCAGGTATGGAATGTGTGATATCCCACAGTTTGGGTGTATCATAGTTCAGGGTTCAAAGTGTCTAATGCTACACAGGGCTCAGGAAATGTGATATTCCATAAACGGAGCTGAGTCCTCCCTGATCCTTTGTAATTCACATTCTCTTGCAGTAATTGCTCCAAACAGCCTTTACTCTCCTCTTCATACCCTTGTCTTCCACAGTTGCAGCAGACATCTTACTTCAAATAGGGATTGTTATAATTTCCTTTAATCTTGTTCTTTCTGTTTTTCCATCACTATTTCTGTCACTGTTACATTCACTTGTTATCCCATTCTGGAATCATTTGAATTATTTTTGATTCTTCTACCTCATTCAAATTTCATATCAAATCCAATATACTCTAACAAATATTTATTATCCACCTACCTTGTGCAAGACATTAGGGATTCAGTGGAAAAAATGAAAAATAGTCCTTGCCCTCAAGGGGCTCACATTCTACTGGGGGGCAGGATACAGTATACAAACAGATAAGTATTTACATGATTATTTGAAAAGGGAAAGAGCCCCACTAAATAAGGAGATGAGGCAAGACTTCCTCCTTGAATTGGTGCAAGAGCTGAGCCTTGAAGGAATCGAGGGATTCTAAGAATGGAGGTGAGGACCGAATGTATTCCAAACTGGGGGTGGGGTGAAGGGAGCTGGGAGATAGAATACAAGTTTGGGGAACAGCAAATAGGCCAGATGGTTGGAACATGGAATGTATGAAGGGGGAATAACGTGCATTAAACATAGAAAAGTAGATTAGAACCAAATTGTGAAAGATTGCAATTTTTCCTGGAGTCAATAGGGAGTCACTGAAGATTCTTGAGCTGGGAAAAGGACATGGTCAGACTTGTGTTTTGGGAAGATAATTTTGACAACTGTGTAGAGGATAAATTTGAGATGGGGAGAAACTGGAAGCAGAAAGATCAATTAGGAGGTTGTTGCCATAGTTTAGGTAAGAAATGATGGGACCCTGAACCAGGGTGGTTCCTGTATGAATAGACAGAAGGGAGACAAGAAATACAGAATTGAAAAGACTTGGTGACAGATTGGATATGTGGGGATAAGGGAGGGGAAAGAAATTAGTATGTTAAGGTTCTGAATCTGGCTTACTAGAAGGATGGTGGTTCCTTAAAATAAGTAGGGAAGTTTAGAAGAAAGGTAGCTTAGAGGGAACGGTGATGAGTTCCATTTTGGTCATGCTTGGTTTGGAAGGCCTAGGATATACCTAGTTCAGGTGTGAAGAACTTGCCACCTTGAGGCTACATGTGTCCCTCTAGGTCCTCAAGTGTAGCTCCTTCACTGAATCCAAACTTTACAGAACAAATCCTTTTATTCAGTCAAAGGGCCATACTTCAGGACCTAGAGGGCCACATATGGTCTCATCTTAGTTGGAGTCAGAAGATCTAAATTTGAATCTCATCTATGATACCTATTAGCTAAGTGACCATGGGCAAGTCACTCAAAGTCTCTGAGCCAGTTTTCTCATTGATAAAATGGCAGTAATGTCTGTAGTACCTACTTCATGGTGTTTTGGTGAAAATCTCTTGAGATTTTGTGTAGGTTGTTTTGCAGATCTTATAAGCACTACATAAATGTTAGCCAGGATTGATGTTTCTATAACTTCGGGTGGGCCCCTAGATTCTAGCATGCCTCCCCTTGACCTTCACCATTGCCCCCTACAGGAGGACCTGAGCAAGGGAACAAGCTACTCCTCAGTGTGATGGGCCTGAGACTGCTATTCGTGAAGATTGTGGCTATCAACGTCCTCTTCACCACCATGGCCTTGATCTTCTGAGGTAAATGTCTAGCTTTGGCCTATCTTTCCATTCCTTCTGGCTTCACTCAGATCATTAATCCCAGCCTCCTTTCTGTCTCCTCAAATTCTCCTCTGTATTTCCAGCTATAGCTCAGCCTCACCCTTTTTCTCAGTCTCCATTCTGTCCCTTCGGATTCTTCTCTGGCCCTCAAATCCCTCCTTAGTCCCTTTCCTGCACACTTGTTCATTTCTCACAGAATCCTTTGACTTGTCAGAATTTCTCCATGGCTTCCTCCTCGCTCACTATGCCCCATTTGCCTTTCAGTCTCCTTTCTGCTCTGATCTCTTCTCTCTCATCTCAGACACCCTTTCACTCTCCATCAGCTTCACTTTCAGGCTCCACTTTACCCTGGTCTCATCTCTGCCCCTTCAGTATCCCCTCCATCTCATTGCCTCTCCTTCTTCTTGATAATTCTTGACCTTGAGGGGAAGGCTAAGGGACAGGGCAATAGGTTTGGCATCTGACTTCCTGATTTCTTACTTCTAACTTCTGCTTCCCCAGAAAGAATTTGAGGAAGGTCTAAGAAGTTGCCACTTGGATTTTGAATCTCTCTGAGGATCCCAGAATGACTTCTGGATAAATTCAAGATAACCCCAGAATGACCCAAGGACCCATAATTATTCCAGTTACATTTAATCCCCTTTAAATTGCAGACTCTTCATTTCTGGTCTATATTCCCAGTGATATAATATTCCTCACTTAGTCCTACAATAAAGACAAGAAAGCCTTGCCTTGCTCTGGGTTTCTACGTATCATGGTGGGGTCTTCAAAGGCCAAGTCCACTTGAATCTTTCAGCTTGGCCTACTGTGATACCACTCTCACTCCCCACCTCCACTATCTTCTTTGTATTGGAGGCTCTGTTTGAGGCTGACAAAGGGATGAACTCATGCTAATGGAAACCTGACCATGAGTGCCAATAGGAGCTGAGAGTGAGACCATGTGAATTAATGGAATGATGATGATTGATAATGATAATAATATCAGCCAGCATTTATATAGCCCTTTAAGGTTTGCAAAGTGCCTTAAAAATGTCTTATTTTATCCTTACAACAATCCTGGGAGATAAGTGCTATTATTATCTCTATATTTTGAAACTGATGCCCAGGGTCACACAGCTAGTAAGTGTCTGAGGTCAAATTTGAACTTAGGTCTTTTTGATTCTGGTTTCAATACAGCAAGTTGCTCAGGGTGGGAACCTGCTGGTGGAAAGTGTGCTTCACCATCTTCTCTTGTCTGATTCACTGTGTCCCTGTCATTATGCTTCCTCATAGAATTACTTTTAGAGCTAGAAAGCAGCCATAGCTGAGTGGTCATTCAGTTGAACCCAACATGAAAGAATCCCCTCTATAAGCCACTTAGTAAGTGGCCATCCACTCTCTGCTTAAAGACCTCCAGTGAGAGACAGCCATTACCTGGTCAGCCAATTCTGGTTCTGGATAGTCCTAATTGTTAAAAATTTTCTCCTTCTATCAAACTTCAAATTCCCATTTGGCATCTCCTAGTTTGCCATCTCAGGTCAAAAATAGCACCATTCCGTGATAGCCCTTAAAATAACTGAACATCAGCAATGCTGACACTTCCTAATTTACAGGGTGTCTATGAAGTAGGTGCTTTGTAAATGCTAAACTGCTACAAAAATAGGAATGATCTCAGGGATTGATCTCTCTCTTTGGCTCCTGATTTCCATTTCTCATTGCCCTTTGGATGTTTCTAGGTGGATGTCATCATAGTATTTCAAGGTCAATGGGTCTAAACCTGAACTGATGACCTTCACCCCCAAAACAGCTCTAGACCTTTTATGATTTAGGCAGAAGAAAGCAGAACTATCACAACCCAAGTAGACATGTATATCTTAGGTGCACACGCACACACACACACGCACCCCTTGTTCTGGTGCACAATATTAAAGAAGTCAAAGGCACCTGCAGAGATCAAACTCTTGGCTCCTTCACCTTGGCTTCTATCCTTATCTCAAGAAGCTTCTGTCTTCCCTAGACACCTATCAAGTACAGGAGGGCAATGATGTCTGGAAACTGAGTTTAGGAAAGAGATCAAGGCTAGTTATATTAATTTGAGAGTACTCTGCAAAGAGAGTCTAATTGAGCCTGTTGGATTTGGTGATGTCATCCAAAGAGAGATGGTAGAAAGAGAAGAGGGCCCAGGATAATTTCAAGCTTATCTGGGACTGACTACTTATTAGAAAAGCTTTCTTCATCTGCAAAAGGAGGATAATAATGTTTGTACTAACTAATCAAAAGACTGTTGTTGGGAAAATGCTCTGCAATCCTTGAAGCCCTGTGGAAATCTGAGGTATTAGCACCAGTATTATCATTACTTCAGACTGGAACTTGGAAATCTGCAATATCTCTGCAAAATCATGAGAAAAGGTCCTTTGTGTCCAAAAACACTTTTCACAGTGGGATTGTGACTGTTGGCAACCCCAAATGAGCCTTGCTTTTTTATAGCATAAATTAATATGGTGATATTGCCACCTAGCGATGGTACTGAGGAAGCACCTGGCAATCCATTGGTTGCTGGAACCACCGATATAATATTCAAACAATCAGTAAGAATCACAAATTCTTTGATCTAGATGTGACTTTTGAGATCTTCTACTCCAATCCATTTATTTTATAGTTAAGGAAACTGGTGATCAAAGAAGGGAAATGGCTTGCACAAGGTCTCAGAGTCAGTGAATGGTAGGACAAGAACCTGAGCCCAGATATTTTGGCTCTCTATTTATTTGTCCACTACACTATACCACTTTTGTGGGAAAAGATTTTTTTTTGTTACCCAAAGAGTATAGAGTTAGAGACTGTCATTTACATTATTTATGGTGAAACACAAGCATTCATAATTGCAACATCTGGTTGTTTTTCAGTCATTTCAGTCATGTCTGACTCTTTGTGACCCCATCGGGGTTTTTCTTGGCAGAGATACTAGAATGGTTTGCCATTTCTTCTTCAGCTCATTTTACATATGAGGAAACTGAGGCAAACAGGGTTAAGTGACTATGCCAGGGTCACACAGCTAGTAAGCGTCTGAGGGTGGATTTGAACTCAGGAAGATGAATCTATTGCTGTATCACAGTGCCACCACAGTTTGTCCATTGCAACACCTGCCTTGGCACAAATAACAACATGGTCAAGGCCCCTTCTCCTGACTCTTTCCATCTGGAGCACATAATGATAATAATGATAGTAGCTAATAATAGCTAACATTTATCTGAAAGTGTATGGGGTGTTCAAGAAGGATTAGCACCTCTGGCTTGTTAAGCCCTTTTTAGGGCTGCTCATCCACTTTAAATAAACTTTTACACAACTCTCACCTGTGGCTCCAAGAAGTTACAGCATATACAGGCCACACCTGGTCTCAGCAGATGGTCTAAACCAGGTTGAGGGTAACTGACAGGTGTTAAACCCCTGGCAAGTTAGGAGGATGTCTACCCCAAGTGTATGAAGATTGGAGACAGAATGGCAGAATGGACAGATGAGAACAATTTATTCCCACAGTCATTAAGGTGGCTGAAGCAGGTGCTGAAAGTGTTGAGAGTCTGGTCCAACATCAAAGATGTCAAAGTCATCAACTGCATCCCAGGACATTGCCAGTCATCTTGACTTTTTGTCTGGACTTAAGTCTCTGGAAGTCATGACTTTGCACAACTCTGCCTCACAAATCCATTTCATGCGCAAGTCAAGACATCAACCATCATCCACTATTTTACCTTCTATTTTACTAATTTATTATCTTACGGTTTTACCTACCTTGAAGTCCTGTGGTGATGGTTAAGTGATGAAGAAACAGGTGCAGATACACTAGCAGCCATAGCCATAACCCTGCACAAAGGTGGCCCAGGGAATTGGGTCGTCTTCTCACTGGATTGAAGGAGAAGTGGGGTTTGGCAGCCCCTTGGGTATCTCTAAGAAGGCAACCTTTAGTTCCATCAGAAGTAAAGTGCAAGCAAAACTTAGAGAGATGCAGGATTCTTGGCTCAGTAAGAAGGCAGATGAGATTCAATTTTACCCTGACAATAACAATCCAAAGTGCTTCTGCAATGCCCTGAAGACTATTTATGGGTCAAAGACCCCTGCATCTCCACTTCTCAGCACTGATGGAGCCACACTGATCTGTGATAAGGACATGATCCTGGAGAGGTGGGCTGAACACTTCTACAATGTTCTCAACATCATCACCGTCATTCACCAATGCTAAAGCCACAGACTATAAGCCTCAGGCTGTCATCAATTCCTCTTTAGCAGAATTTCCAACTGAAGAAGTACTGAATGCCATCAGGTTCTTCTCAAGTAGGTAAAATGTCTGGTGCTTATTTTATCCCAGCAGAGATCTACAAGGCAGGGGGTGCACTGCTGATAGAGAAGCTGACTGAAATCTTCTGGATTATATGGCAAGAGGAAGCTATCCCCTAGGAAATCAAGGAGGCCTCCATTATCCTCTATAAAGGAAAAAGAAGCAGACTGTCCTAATGACAATTCACAAGGAGATCTCTCTCTCTCTCTCTCTCTTAGTCACAGCTGGCAAGATTCTTGCCAGAGCTATCCTTAAGCATCTGATCCTTCATGTGGAAGATGGCCATCTGTCTGAGAGGCAGTGTGACTTCAGAAAGGAGCAAGGGGTGGTTGGCATAGTGTTTGCTGCCTGTTCCCACTCAGAGAAGTGCTCTAATATATTGACATTTATTCTTCTGGTAGTCATTTTGCCTTGAAGCTTCTGCTTTTGTTGAATGTAAATGTTTAGCTTGGAGAGGATAAATCTATGATCGGTCCAGCACTCTGCACCACACATTGCCTTCATCATTCCCACATCCTGTCTGTCTCTTCTCCTTACAATCACATAGTCTATTAAATGCCAATTTTCCTGTGAGGGTGCATCCACAAAGTTTTATTGCATTTAGGTAAATGGAACAGTGTTGGTGATGACAAGGTCATGAGATGCATAAATCTTCAATAGTAAGTGAACATTGTTGTTGTTGTTTCTAACTCCATTCTTCCCAAAGACTCCCTTTCACATCTGATAGTCTGAGCCTACTCGACATTAAAGTCTCCCAGAATTATAAGTTTGTCCTATTTTGGCACATTGATGATAAGAGTCTCCAGGTCTTCATAAAATTTTTCTTTGACCTCATCAGGGTTTGTCACGGTGGGAGCATAGGCATTAATGATGGTGGCATGGCAAATTCCTACAAGTGGCAATCACATTGTCATTATTCTGTCATTTACTCCTTTTGGTAGGCATGCAAGCTTGTTGACTAGATTAGTTTTGATCACAAAAACTACACCAGCTTCATGGCACTCCCATTCTCTGTGGCCATTCCAGAAAAATGTGTATACAGCTCTGACTTCAGTAAGCTGGCTTTCATCTGCTAACCTTGTTTCACTCAAGTTTTCTATTTGGATGTGATACCTGCTAAGTTCTCTCACAACAAGAGCTTTTTGCCTTTCAGGTCTACTGGATTTTGTGTTGTGTGTGCACATTCCAAGTACTGGTGGTGAGTGGAATCATCTTTGCAGAAATTTTTTTTACATATTTTTGTGTTTTGATCACAGGGTGGAATCCCTGCCGCCACAGTAATCAGGTCATGGTTGGGTAAGCAGACAATTTTTTTTGTTTTGTTTCATTTTATTTTGGAGGCAATGGGGGTTGTGACTTGCCCAGAGTCATACAGCTAGTTAATAAATGTCTGAGGCCAAATTTGAACTCAGGTCCTCCTG